GTCCCCGCGCTTGACCACAAATTGGTTTATGACACAAGCTCGAGATGGAAGCCTCAAGCTCGCACATTCCTACTATTGTAGTGGTCAAAACAACAACACAAGCGGTCGTTAACAAGTGATCTCAAGCAAACAAGTTGTCTTTATAATAACCATGATTTCTTGGTCACTGGGGCAAACTGTTGAAAAGTCATTAATAAAATTATTGACACTCTACTAATGTAACTTTATATGAAAATGTATATGGGATGCAGTTCAAACATTAAGTTTGTTTTGGGATTGAGAGAATTATTACAACATTTGTTCATGTAGTATTGCATACTGACGTCGATTAATAAGCAAACTTTTAGTATATTGAGTCTTAAGTGCTGATTCAGGAATTACTTTTGATTGAAGTAATTAGGCGATTAATGAACTGATGGCAAATGCTAACTCAGAATTTTCTTGATTGCGCCTTAACAAAAAAAGTGGCATCAACTTTCGAGAGGAACGTGATGCTTAGTTAGGTTTACGCGTGAATGAATAATAACTTCATGTTCATGAATGATAATTAAATAATTGTAATAATTATTATTAATCGAGGAATGCTTAATAAATTGCTATGTGTAAATTAGCGAATTAATGGGACAGGGCACGTTCATTTTACGTACGAAAGAAAAACAATAAAAAAAACAGGAAACAAGCATCTTTAGAAGCGGAATTCTTTCTGCTTTCGCTTAGGAACGGTTTTGCCTCGAAGTTATTATCTTAAGCTAAGGTTATGAAAACACGGATAAAATTTCGTGATGATAATTGTGGCTCCAAGAGGAGCCGGGTTAGTAATGGTATCAACCACCTTGCAATCAAGTTACTTTGAAGAGGTGTATTTGGTAACAGCCTTGGTGCCTTCTGATACGGCGTGCTTGGCCAGCTCTCCAGGAAGCAGCAGCCTGACGGCGGTCTGAATTTCCCGGGAGGTGATGGTAGTTCTCTTGTTGTAAGATGTGTATAAGAGACAGATATGAGCATGAGAGTGATGATCCTCGATTGATTACTGATCAGTGATGAACTGATGATATGGCCTAGGACGAGTGAGGNGTAATAAGTGTTTCATATCAAGCCAAATGTACTACCCTTCATTGCAGACTTAATAAGTTCTGTAACTGAACATATTTCTTTGAATGATGTTGCTTAATCTCAGTCATGTTATGCATATTTAATTTCTCAATAAGTCTTATATTTGCTGTATTTTTCAGTGCTTAATTCCTCATTGGTAACAAAAAGACATCATAGATCATGACGGTGTCAGAGGGAGAAGATGAATATGAGGAACAGGAAGAACTTCTGTTTCTGGACCTCAAGGGAGTTGTTCAGTCTGAGATCACTCAAGAGGCCTTGAATAACTTCAAGTTGCTGGGCATTCACACACCAAATCCTATTCTGCAGGTATCAAAATATTATACTCTTAATATGTTCTAGTCTTAGTCTTAGTGATTTGTGGAGTACCGTTTTATTGAAAGTTTTTTGTGACATTGTTCAATGGTTAGCTAGGAAAACTCTAATCCATTTGTTTTTAAGATCTTTTCATTTATTTGTTATCAATGCACGCGCATATTCAAACAATTATTATCCTTGTACTTTGTTCTATGGATGTCAAATCATTAATTGTATTTCATCATGCATGAAAATTGATCAGTTTTTAAACTAGAAAATACCTTTGCTATATGTTAGAATGTAGCCTAGAGTCTGTGTAGTTGGGACTTTTTCAGCTGATAGCTCTTCCCTGTTTGTTGTCATTGTGGTCGCTCTGATATGTTCCTGTGTCAACTGAATAATGAAGACACAGGTAATTTTGTTGAGGTTAATTGAAATCTAAAACTTCTTTATTATAGATTATTGTAAAGCAACAGGATTCCATAAAATATTTAACTGTTGAAAGCTGAATAATTGGAATGAATTGGAGAATACACAATCTTGATCTACTGTGTTGTGGTGTTCCATTTTATTATTAAGCTATCAACTACCTATATCTGACAAAAAATGTTAAACATGTGCCGAGGTCAGACAACATGTTTGCCCTAAATGAGCTACTCTGAAACCTTCATGCCATGTATATTCAACATATTACTTCTTATGCAACCAGTAACCTGAAATGATTCAACAATTGTTCTTCCTCAGATTGGTGGACTAATATTCCAAGGAGGCTTTGAACCAACCGTGGGAACAGCTGTGTTTTTTCAAGAGCAGCCACAGTCAGCCTCAACTCTGCCTCCCCTGCCCGTGTTTGCCAAGAGGCCCAAGAAGATGCTTCAGTATGCCTACAAAGCGCATAATATGATACAAATGAAGCGTATTTTTGTTAAACCCTTCAAGGAAAATAGTGAAGCCCAACTGCTTGGAGAGGATTGATGTTCCAGTAGTCCAGAAAATATGCATGATATAGGAGCTGATATGAGATTTTCTGCTGTCTTGCTGTAATATTAATAGTTTTAATATAGGTAACTATTGTTAATAGTTGAATAATATCAACTTATGATATGGATTGGAGAGTGTTAAATATCTGAGTGTGGTCAACTATTCCTTTTATTACTTATGGATTGTTTACATACGATCATCAAAGGCGTACTTAAGTGTAATTAAAAAAAACTGTGGAGCAATAAAAAACATAAATTTTGCTATTAAATTTATTTTTGAGGTAAAATGATTGGATTCTGCTGTGCAGTCGAAAGCTAGATTGTAGGTTATGAGCTTTATTGTTATTGATACTCTGCCTGTTTGCAACCATGTATTAATGTTTTGCGCTGCTAAATTTCTCGATTTTAGGTACACGTGCTTGTATGCAGTATCTTGGCTCAATCTCTTTCCATACCTTAATTTTTGTTGATTTTTTCATAGAATATCTAGTTGTCAGTAGCCAATTATGAAGTTTTCCACGAATATTATGCTGTCAGTTAGTTGGTGTGACTAAATGATCAATCAATTGAAGATCAAAGAGTTAAGTTATCTTGTAATGTTATTCGCTATACTCACTAATTGTATCCAAATTAGACAACAGTATGCCTAGTAGATGATGGGTATGGAGGCCACGAATGTTCACAATCATTGAGTTGTCTTTGCCATGTTTCCTTACAAATACTGGTACAGTATTTGTAGCAAATACTGTAGCTTCACTGACGAAAATGGCTTGTGAGAGGGCTATTTGTCGCAAACGTTTCGAAGTATGATGTTGCTTTGATATCGTCTATTATATGGCGAGTATGTACTATACTCACGATGATCGAATCAACTGTATGGTTAAGGTAAAAATGTTTGATGACCAAGAAACGAATGTTTGCCTTCGCTTATTTTCATGGACAGTTAATGAATGGAATTAACTCTTACAAACAAAACTTTTTTGTGGAGTTTTTTAATGTGGTTAAAAATCCAACATATTATTGTCTGCATATTAGATTGAGAAGATGCATGCTCTTCACTAGCCCTGTTTTGACAGCTGCCACTTGCCACTTTCGCACGGAAATTTCCGATGCAATTCTTCTGGTGCGAGTAAGCTTTTATATAAGCTTAGCCCAACAGGCTTATATATAAGTGGTGCCCAGTGGTTACAGTTCAGAGTACCATGATTGGCGCAGAGAGGCTGGGGTTCGATCCCAGCTCTGTGCGCCAGTTTCTGGTCACAATCGGCGAGGAGGCCGGGCGGTTAAGCACAGCAGAATTTGGAGCAGTGAGTTCGAGACCGCAACAAGCTGTGACTGTTCTGCGATGTTAAGAATCGGCGACAGGTCTACGGCCTAAGGGTACGCACACAGTGAAAGCAGGTTGCCAGCGTGCTGGTTACCTGCTCAGGCTGGCGCCTGAAACCATAGAATACAGAAGCCTATTCGTACAGGTTTTCACTGTGAACACTTACATTATTATTCTATGTTCATTCTTGTGGCAGGTTGGAG